TGGTCTGAGCAGCCCAAAGAGGGATGCTGAGCAAAGGCATCGCACAGAGTTGCCTATTATGCAGGCTTCTCTGGGAGGTATGTTGACCTGCATAAGGGTTACCTGCCCCGAGATTTCCCTTTCCCAGAAAAACGGCAGAGGACAGGTCGAGAGTACTTCGGGTCAAGCTAACAGCCTGATGGTGACTCCCGTACACAGTCTTAATGTTTGATTTTGGGAAGGTACAACCCCTGCCTCTATCCCTCAACATATGGGTGACCTATTTGCTTGTTATAATATAAAGCCTTTTCATTAATTAATAAAAAAGGGGGATATGTAGGAAGCCGGTTCCTGCATTATCCATTACTATAATAGGTGCCGGAAGACACCAAGTTGTAAATTACTTCACAGGCGCTGGGTAATCTCCATTCCTTTGATCTCTGCCTATCCCGTGGCTCATTTTTGCCTGAGGAGCTGAAGCCATTCTTAGGGTAACACGTCCCAGGCGGCTGGTCAGCCTTTATATAGGGATGGTTTTCTTGGTTTAGTCTCCGTTCTGGTCTCCACTCTGGTAAAATGCATTAAAGCTTGTCTGCAGAAGGATCCGAGTGTCCTGCGTGTATTTCTTGCTGGTGAGGAATACAGAGCGGGCGCGGGACAGTGGGGAACACCTTTGGCATTTGCAACCCAATGCTAACAAAGTCTTAGTTCAGAAACCAGGAACCCTGGCTACCTCAATCCAGTTGACACCAACCATTGCCTTTGAGACAGGGAATGGTGACACTATGGTAAACCTGGAGAGATCACTGGAGCCTTAGCTCATAACCTGTGACACCCTGAAAGTGTAGCACGTGGTCTTCCCTACACACTCACTCTCCCAACAGTCTTAGCCATGGAACCCAGGAGCATAAACGCCAGGTGCTTCTGCCATAATATCTCCAATAACAAGCCAGCTGAGCAAATGAGATTACTGCAGATCCCCCAAAAGGACAGGAGGTAAACTAACCTCAGGGTCTTAGTCTACTATTCACAAGAGCTCTGTGTTTTCCACACCTACCCATATGCTCTCCTAAGAGCTTCAGTGACCTGTACTTGTCACAAGCCTGGCCAGGCTGCCACACAACCAGAGTGTCTTTTCATGGCACTTCTGACAGCCCTTCTTCCCCACCAGCACTCTCAATTCTGCTGCAAGCCTTTATCATTTATCACAGAAGTAGCAACTAATATTCTAGGTATCAACGTCAGAATATTTGTAAGTATGAATTCGAATGTATATAGAATATATACTGGGTGCTTGGTATCCCCAAATAGGCCCCAGAGGAAGGAAATTCCATCTCAATGGGGCTGCAGCCTCCAGATCTCACACTACAGAGCCTTAGTTTTTCCCTTTGATATAACACTGAGAAGCCTAGACACAGGGGCGTGGAGGTGGAGAGGTGCTTGGTCCTGCCTCAATGAGATGATGGAACAGACTTACCCTTTTCAAGGAGCAAATGGCAGGTGGGGTGGGGGAGATTTGAGGGGAGAGGGAGGAGAGGATTGAGGGGAACTGGGATTGGAATATAAAAAATAAATTAATAAAAAAGCAAAGACAGAGAAAGAGAGACAGAGACAGAGACAGAGAGAAGTCTCTTTCAATCCATTAACAGCACCATGTTGCAGGTCACATCTCCCACCTGATTTGTGAGGCTCCCACTTTTCTCAAGATCTTATTGGCCTTCCTGGCTCTGAGAGATATGCATGCCCTAATGTCAGAGAGTTGTTAAATGTGCTTGTGGATACAAAGAAACTAGAAGACTTGTGGGATGAAGAGGCACTTTTAGAAAATTTTGAGAAGGAACTTTAGAGGACTTTTTAGAAAGAACTTTTGGAGACTTTTTAGAAGGAACTTTTAGAGAATTTTTAGAAAGAACATTTTTAGAATTTTTAAGGAGAGCCACTAAAGAGAACTTTAAGAGAGCCTTTAGAGAAAGAACTTTTGAGGAGACAACTCTTCGAGAGAAATCTTAAGAGAGCTTTTGAGAGAGAACATTTGGGAGAATTTTTTTTTGAAAAATAAAGAGTTGTGAGAATTATATGTGTATGATCTGATTCATTGGCCCTCAGATCAGACCTTTTAGCCAACCCAACCCACCTGCTGTAAGCCTCCTGCCTGAACCTGCCTATGGGGCCCTGCAGCTCTTATTACTGACACCCCGGTGAGAAGGAATTTCCTTTCTCTGGGGCCTATTTGAGACTACAAAGCACCCAGTATATATTCTATGTACAGTCAAATTTGTAGTAACAAATATTCTGGAGTTGATACCTAGAATATTAATTGCTGCTTCTGTAATAAATAATAAAGGCTGGCAGAATCTCACCTTTTTTCAGTTTATTTCTTAAAAAAGTGTGTAAATCTCTCTCCATGGGCAGTTTAAACTGTGGATAAATAAAAGTCTGAACATGACTTAAAGTAGAATAATTGATTAATACACTTCTGGGGTTATTTTGGATGAATCACACTACGGAAAAGGGGAGTGCTATGACTTCACAATGGTTCTACAGAGATGACAGTGACTATTCAAATGGCAGGTATCCCCAAGGCTTTGCAAGTGCAGTTTCCTCCAGCAGAATACATGATGATCTCGCTGGATCAGCCTAGTGATTTTGTCAATTGAGATCTCATCCTATGATCGCTGTGGTCTGTAGCACAACTCCATGGTCCAACCAAGTGTCTTAAAAGATACCTAAAAGAAATTTTATGGTGTCCTGCAAGGACAAAATTCAACTCCAGCAAGACCTGGGTATCCTTGCATGGCCCTAAGGTACAGTAAGACTGAGGGATTATGTGTCTGTCTTTTGTAATTATTGACCCCTCAGAAGAAAGGAAACCCTGAGGGTCAGAGCCCCTGCTGTCCCAGCCTAATGTTGTGGCAGCTTTTCAACAGCCTGATATTGAAGTCCATCCTTCTGCCAAAAGGGCTCAGCATCTCCAAAGGCCATCATGGACATTGATGAAGCAGTCAACCAATGGAGCAGAGTGTGGAACAAATTATGCTTTGAATCACTGAGAACGTGTCTATTAGAGCATCCTGTGTTTAGGAATTCTGGTTTCTGGAAAGAAACATAAAACCTTGTAGATGAATATGGGAGAACTGTTTCTTATCCTTTTCTTACTTAGGGGGAATGAAGAGTTTCAGCGGTAAATTCCCATTTTATAGAGGAAGGGGGGGAGGCATATTGAGGGGAATGAAAGAAGGAGGAAGAAGAGAAGAGATCATGTGGCCAGTGATGGGAGTGGGTGTTTCACAAATAGGGATTCACCTGGCAAAGGCCTGGAGCAGGCATGGAGAGAGGGTGGTGGCTGAGTGTGGTGCTGTGGTACAATGACAGACATCTAGGCGGCAGAAAGAAGGATGCAGAAGTATCAGATGTGGTAGGCTGGGTTGTGACTGTAGGACATGTTTAATGGCAGGATAAAGAGCCAAATGTCATCCCACAGGAAATAACAGCCCCAAAACAGGGTATCATGATAAACATGGATGATGGATCTGAACTTGTCCCCACCTCTGAAGAGCTGTCTGACCTTAGGTACTGTACCTACTCTTCTAACTCCATTTTCTCACATGTGAAACTGGCTATGGAAAGAATTTAAGGAGTGTTTATATACAAAGTGCTTACAACAGTTCCTGGCACTCAGCCACTACCTAGTAGTTGGCTCCGGAAAGATATAACACTAGTCTGTCTGTGGAATACCACTTCTAGTCATCTTGGAACAGCTCTTCAGGAAACTGCCAGCAGGCAGCCTGGAAATGGGAGAGTCATCATGGATCTAAGATTATTTTTCCATATTCAAAGCATTCCTCTATGAATATAAATGCTTCTTTTGGTCAAGCTGTCGTCCTTCATGAAGAAATGTCAGCCTCACTGGAAAGGACAAAGTTGGGTTGGACATGTAGCTCAATAGTAGAGTGCTTGCCTAGCCTAACCAATATCCAGCATACACAGAAAGGAATATACAAAGTCTAAACTGGTACCTAACACACATGCACACTCATGCACACACATACCCACAAACACACACACACACACACACACACACACACACACACACACCAACACTTCTGTGGCATGGCATTACATTATCTGATTTTTATCAAACCATGGCAGGATACACCATTTATGAGATGTTAGCTCTGTGATTAAGTTGAATGATGTCAAAGTTCTGATACACAGAAGGTGAAGAAGGTGTAATCTAAAATAAATTCATGATTGCTGAGATGATGTCTTGGGCAGGACTTACTTCCAGATCCATCCTTGACTCTGGGCCCTTCAGGCTTGGCCTCGGACATGATGTTTGCATTGGCATTGTTCTCCATCTCAATCATGAAGTCACTGTCCTCTTCAAACTCTGGGTGGCTGAAGATCCAGTCCAGTGCCCTTTCCAGGTTATGATTCTGAAGAAAGGAAATCCACAATGCATCCAGAGTCCAGGCCTCATCATGTCTCAAACAATTGTACCAGGTGTCAAGCAGCTAGGCAGGAGGCCTGAATTAATTGGTCCTAAGCATCTCTGAGTGAGAAGCTCAGACTTTTGTCACTCTCCCACACATACCCTATGACAGCAGTGACCAGAAAATGAGCTCAAAGTCTCCACTTGTCTTAGCTCAGCATTATTGCAGGCTGGCGCCAAAGATGAGAATGCAAAGTGCCCAAGGCAAGGCAGTGTTTCTGCACAGCCCTTTCTACAGCCACAGTAATTATATATACTGTTCTCTCTACCATTGGCATCTTTGTAAGGTAAAGGTGACAATGTACACACTGCATTAGTGCCTCCTTGCCTTAAATACAGGAAGAATGCAGAACAAATGAATACCTTAGTTAATGGTTGCCTTAATGGAATCCCATATGGTTCAAATCAACTGGACATGAAGTAATTTCCACCTTCACATTTGTGACAAAGAATTTGTTTATATATAGAAACTTCAATAAAACAAAGTAGGGTTCATGAAAAGTACCCAAGTGAGAAAAAGTCTGGTTAAAACATTTTAAGAATTTTAAAAGAAAAATTTCCATGACCTGGTCAAGACTCACCTCAGCAAAGGGCCCTAGCAAGCAACCCAGTCAGATCAGGCAAAAGGACTTGGGAGCAGACAGCCACTCAGAATGAATTCTGATATGACAAGGGATGGTGGGTTTTAGCAAGAGTACTTCCCTGACCATTAAAAAATACCTACACCATCAACCCATTGTTGCATAGTCCCTCCTGTTGAATTGAGACATTCATAACTACAGAAGAAACTCCACTCTGCTGAGGAAAACAGTGGTAGAAAATCCCAAGGACTTTTTACAAGGATCTTCAAGACATATTTTTCCAAGATCTAGATATCAAAACAGCATAATTTCATCTTAAATACTTTCTTACCAAACCAAAACCTTAGCACCCTCTTTGCTCTGAAGCTGGCAAACTCCAAGCAGACCTGTGAGCCCTGCTATGGAACATTCAAGATGTTGGTCATATTGCTCCAGCTCCACACCCCCTCATGCCTAAGCTCACCACATGAGTACCTCATTCATTCAGTTTAGTTTTGTGTATACTACATGAAAAATCTTCATGAAGTGTGATGGGACACAGTCAAAAATAACTTGGAATGACCAAAGGACACTGGGAGGTCTCTGTTGCCAAGGACCAAACTGAAACCACCTCCAGCAAGGCCAGAATTCCCTAACTCATAGTCACCAATGCTCACCGTTGCTCGTAGGGCCTGCACTGCCTGATTGCGCTGAAATCCCATGGAGGTGATGATAGCTACAATTTCCTCAGGAGGTTGGTTGTCCAATCCAGTAGCACCATATACAGAGGCTCCAGCCCCTCCATACCCAGGTATGGCCAAGGGTTCAGCAAAATCTGAGAAAAATAACTGTACTAAAATTTTTCTGGCTTTTTGCCTTGAAAACAAACATTGTAGAAGAAATGTGGAAAAATATACAAAACTGTATAATCAAGGGATCCTAGAACCAGATCTGAGGCTAGACATACCAGTCGATTTAACAGCATTAGAAAGTCCAAAGACAGGTGATTTCCAAGCAGACTTTTCAGCAGGGAAAGACATGGCTATTTGCATACAAAACCATAAAGACAGAGGTTCCTCCTCATGTAACACAAAATCAACTCAAGCTGGATCATTGTCTTAAACACAGGAACTAAAAGTATTAATTTTAAAAATTAATTAAAATAATTTTAATTTTTTTAATTAAAAGAGAAAACACAAGATTCAGTCTTTGTAACATTGGGTTAAGCAATGATCCCTTGTATATGACACAGAAAGTAGAATTCATAAAACAAAGTAGATGTATCATACCTCATCAAAATTGAAAAACTGTCTACTTGAAAGACATCATCAAAGAAGTGAAGACATAGAACAGAAAAATATCTCTGCAAATTATGTGTCTGACAACACTTAGGAGGCAGAGGCAGGTGGATCTCTGTGAATTTGAGGCCACCTTGGTCTACAGAGCGAGTGACAGGATAGGCTCCAAAGCTACACAGAGAAACCTGTCTTGAAAAACCAAAAAAGAAAAAAAAAATGTGTCTGAGAGGAAACCTGTATCTAAAATTTAAAAAGAACTCTTAGAACTTAACAATAAAAGGCAAAGAACTAATTATACCCACAGTGTTATTAGTCAGTAGGGAAATACCTCTTGAAATCACAGTGACCACCATGGTACACCCAGAAGCCACTATAACAAAACTGCTAATGGTGAGAATTCAGAGAAATTGAATCCTTCATTCATCATGGGTAAGAGTATGAAATGGTTCAGCCACTGGGTAAAATTGACAATTTTTAAAAAGTTAAATATAGAACTACATCAATTCTGCTCAAGAGAAACAAAATCATAAATCTATATATGCACAAAAGTTTATGTTTACAGCCCCATTAATAAACACCAAAGAGCAGAAAAAACCCAAATGACTGTCATCCTCTGATAAAAGGGCAGACTGTGGTATGGCTATACATGGAACACTACATGGCCATAAAAGGGAAGTGCTGTTCATGCTACAGCATAAGACCCCTAAATACATTATGAAAAGCGGTAGAAACCTGACACAAAAGGCCTCATGTTGTACAATTCCATTCATATGAATTATCAAAAATAGGCAAATTCATAACAATTGTAGGGTACCCAGAAAGTAGATTAGTGAAGATTAAGCACTGGAGAGAGTAAGAACATGGGAGAGGCAGTGTCTTAATTAGGGTTTCTATTGCTATGAAGAGACACCATGACCTCAGCAACTCTTATAAAGAGAACATTTAATTGGGGTGGCTTGCTTATAGTTCCAGGGATTCGGTCCATTATCATCATGGTGGAACATGGAGGCAATCAGGCAGACACAGTACCAGAACTGAAAGTGCTGTATCTTACAGGCAACAGAAGTAGACTGAGCCACTGGGCAGCTTCCTGAGCATAGGAAACCTCAGAGCCCACCCAGATAGTGACATACTTCCACCAACAAAGCCACACCTTCTAATAGTGCCACTCCCTATGAGATTATGGGGGCCAATTACAATCAAACCACCAAGATACCTCCTATCTAGCATTTCTTTTGTTATACAAAAATATTCTAGAATTAGACAGTTGCTTAATTGTAAAGTGACTAAAATCCATGTGAATGTACACTTCTGATAGGTGGATATATAAATGACATCTTCAGAAAGTAGACAAAAGAAGAAGCTGAGGAAAGGGCCTCCATTTCTTCAGTTTTCTATTTCAAGCTTAAAATAAACACCACATCTTTCTAATGATCTTTTGGTCAACGAAGTATGGACACCTTTAAGGAGGAAGTTATTCCAAGAAAGCTGTTGTTTAAGAGATTAAGATTGTGACTTTGCCCAAACAGTAGCATGTTACCATCTGAAAACTCATCTTTGGGGACACATCCTTGGGGACATGAACTCCAAAGTACTCCCATATGGCCACCTACCAGGTTCCTCCATGTGCACGATAATCCAGTTGAAGGCCACCTCAGCTCCAGTGTTTCCAGTGAAGTACACAGCCTTCCGGCAGGCTTCCAAAGGAAAGCCCATCTCAGCCAGCTGCATCACGGAGGATTCATCAATGTCTGAGGCTACAGAGCACAGCAGGATATCCCACCATGAAAAACAGAATTTTCCACTTCCTCCTGTCTTCATTACTCTCCAACCCCTTATCTAATCTACAGACTACCTGAAGACAGATCCATTTTGTTGGGTCTTAATTTGACTTCTTTTTATGTCATCTAACTATTGAGCTATTCATGAGAAAAAAATGGTATTATTACCTCAGTTTACAAATGAGGTAATTGAGGCCTATAGAATAAGAAACAAATTGTTCCAGGCCACACAGTCCTAAGCAGCAAAACCCCACAGGACTGCAAGCTTTCAAGCCTACACTAATCCTCCTGAGCAATAAGGGATACTTAAGCAGCATTTCATTGGTCTACATTTGTTGCTTACTCAACTTACAGACAGTTCCACCCAGGAACAACCACATATATCCAGGACAGAACAATGTTACTTTGCTGAACTACTACTTAAAAAAAAAAAAAAAAGTTACACTATGAGCTGAAGAGATGGCTCAGAAGTTAAGAGCACTTACTACTCTTCCAGAGGCCCCAGGTTTTTTCTGTTCCTAGCACTCATATGGTGGCTCACAACCCTCTCTAACCCTAGTTTCAGGGAATCTGACACCCTTTTCTGGCCTCTGTGGGCATCAGGCATTCACATGGTACACAGACATGCACACAGGCAAGGCACCCATATGTATAAATAAAAAATGGAACAAATCTTTAAAACATATCATACTAGCAACAACTGTAAGACACCAAAAACACTTTTAAAGATACCTACGGTCTATCAACTGGTTCATCAGGCGATCTGGAAATGAAAGAACAGATGATAAATAAGAGCTAGCCACCACCAATAGTTTTAGAAAAAAGAAACTGCATCAGTCCAGGATATTCCCAGACCCTCTCACTCCTGGTTACCCCACACACACTACCTGCAAAACAGTTCATTAATTACAGTAATGAGGGGAAACAGCAGATTTTGGGCAAATAAAACAGGAAGTTTTGACATCTCAGCGAGATAAATAATTTCAATCCTTGCATTCATTTCCAAGAGCAAGGTTTCTGGCCTGGACATGATTTATAGGGGAAGTATGAAAAGCCATCCTGGCTTCCCTACTGCTCACCACTACCTGTCTGTAAGCCCTTTCAGGAGCCTCTGCCACCAGGGCCCAAACCAATGACTCAAAGTGTATGAGTCTGAAGTATACAGTTGCAGCCATGCTTCATTCCTATGTGTCTAGGTCAATGACAGGGAGCAGTTTAATGGTGAAACAGTAACTCCTCCTGGCTGGAAGAGGGTGGTAAGGAAAGAGTATCCTTCCAGTAGGAAATGGTACCTTTTGAGTCATCAGGAATGACTATAGGGGGACTGATGTCTGGAAGCTCCTCTTCTCCTGGCTGTAAGCCCCTGGCTCTAAGATGGCTGATATCTAGTAGGTCTGGCATATCAATAGAAACATCTGCAAAACAAAAGATTATATTCACTGGACTCTCTAGAGCCCAAATCAGCTCATTATAAATCTGCATGTGTTCACTGCATGCATGTGTCTTGGCAGCCTAAGGGACACAGAGCACAGCAGATTTGTCAAGCCACATGAAAGTTAATGGAGGGCTCAGGGAAAGGGCAGAGAGTGGTGGCACAAAGGCATCACACTGGACAGCAATAGGTCAGATAAGCCAGTGGTCACAGACTAGCAACCAGGCTATCTGTGGTCTGGACTCATTCCATTTTGTGTTTCTTAAAATATGGACATGATTTAAATTTAAAATTTAGACTTCTGGATTTCAAAAACCATGAACTGCAGCACATTCTCCCATGTAAACAGTCTGGGTTTCCCTTTAACTTCTATTTTGGACAATGGTGGCCTCTGTGACCATTTCACACTGACCCCACAGCTCTGGACTGTCCCAAACATGCACATCATGCATATGGGAGAGGATGTCTTTCTGAACTATGTTATTACACACAATGGAGCCCACCATGAGAGGAGGCTGTGTAGGCCTCTACCCGGCAGCTCTTCTTTCCTGCCTTTTGCTTCCCTATCCTTGTTGCACATTTAGGTTTGAAAACTCCTACCTAATACTTTTTTCAAATTGTGGCAGATACTGTAATGATTGTAAGTTATGAATTATAAAGCTCAAAAGAACTTGACTGAATCTTAAGTGTCTATCCCTGGGCGCTCTATGAGGAAAAACAAAACCCTCTCGGCTCAGTTGCTATTGCATTTGACTTACTCAAATGCAAGATTTACAAGCCGAATAGCATCTGAGATGCAGTGCTGCATCTATGCAAACAGGAACAGAAGTGGGTTCAACTACAATTTCAGGGTTATGTCCTTCAGGCCTGAAGGATAACTGCCTCCAAATGATTCCAGATATGTAAATCCTACTTAAGACAACCAAGCAGGCTGGGCATGGTAGCACATGCTGTAAACACAGAACTTGTGAAGTGGAAGCAGGTAGATCAGAAGTTCAAGGCTAGCCTCATCTATACAGTAAATTCAAGGCCATCCTGGGATACATGATATCCTGCCTCAAAAAATAAACAGATAAGTATAAATAAAACAATAACCCAAGAACAAAAGTTAAGTCTGAAAAGTTAAATTTTAAGGACGAGTAAAACTAAACACATGGTCAGACTCACAGAATTGATACAACTGTTCCTCAAGAGAAAAGTCCAGGCCCTCCTTGTGACTCTTTTAAATTTAGTCAATAAAATTTGATTTCATTTTTGTTCCTTCACAAAAATTCCAAGAACAACAGTAAAAAGAAAGAAAACTGTCCAAAGCAATCCAAAATTTTCTATCTCAAATATCTAGTCTCTCCCAGAAGCCAGTAGAGAACAGCATGTGCTACCCTCAGACCCTCTCTGCTGCCTAAACTCTTCAGCAAGAAAGCCTAGGGTCTCCTGGGCCTCGGGAATGGCACAAAGGAAAAGCAAACAGTCACTGTGTGCCCACCTGCATCAGGTTCCCTAGAAAATCACCCTGGATGGTTTTCCTCCTCTCTCCCTGTCCCTTGCACCAGTGTCTGGATGACTTTCAAGATTTGCAATGTCTCCTTTCAGAAGTTCATAAACACAAATCTGTAAGGGACTAGCAAACAGTTTGAAGTCCTTGCTTGAGAAGCTAGCTATACGGGGTGAAATACACGTTCTTCCACATCCTGGAACCACTTAAGACCCATCAATTCAACCCTGGTAGTGGAGGAAATGGCCTTTATATCTTGTCTGGAAAATAAGCTTCCACAATGGCCAAGGGCAAGTCTGGGAAAGCCCAAACCACATTCTTCTTTCAACTGTGCAAGCAACTGTTTCCATATGTCTGTTAGTAACAGTTATATGACTTAGATGAATGTCAGTGGCACCTACTGAATCACAGAGGTGGGGCAGGCTGATGAGAAGAGCCTGTACCCCCAGCTACCTGCTACTCCAAATGTGGTGTCTAGACTAGCAATGCCAACCCAAGGTTGTGAGTCCAGAAAAAAAGTGGGTTGGGTTAGAAACACAGTCTCTCAACCCACCCTGCATCTGCCAATTAGCATCCCCATGTTCCAATGACCCCAAGTGACAAATATGCACAGTAACATCTGGGATGTGCCATTGTGAGGACCGTGCTTTCCCTCTTACAACATGGTCCTTCCAGAGCTCAGTAGTGAAGGGGTGGTTAGCATGTGGCATTTCTTACTGTTGGTGTTTCTCATAGGCTGTGAGTCCCAAGAAAGGTAGAAGTAACAGAGAAACAATGGAATGGGCATGATGGGGGCAGATATCCCCACAGCCTCTTTCACATGCCATGTCTTGTTAAGTGGCTCACTCTATAGTTTAAGCAAAAGCATGCAAAGGATACCTACCAAATTTTCTGGGAACCCAGTCAAGACCAAAAGTGAACTTCTTTATCTGCACTACCAAGTATTCAGGGAATGAGGCAAAGCGAGATGTTCTGGGAAACACAAGGGGAGGAGATCAATCAAACAAGGCAGAAAGAAAGGTGAATGCAGTCTACGGCAGGCAGGCAGCCTCGTCTGAGGCACCTGGCAATGCCTAGGACTGCCCTGTGAGGAGGAACTGGACAACAGTCAAGTACACAGCTACTCGCACGCTCACTCCAACCTCCTAGCCTCTCCACAAAAGAAAAGGCTGGATGTAGGACACAGTGAGCATGGAGTGCAGCTGTTTCACGGCAACAGCTTTGCTGCAACATTCTGGAAAGTGCTTTTCAACCATTTGCTTTCCCAGCATTCTTGCAGGGTTTCCATGTATGTACTTGCAGGTGTTCTCAGTTGTGCACGATCCATGTCTGTGACGTTCCCAGAGTAATGCAGAGAAGCCTTGCTTCACTGCAACTGAGAATCACTGCATCCCAGCAATGGGCTGGTACAAGGGAGGCTTGGCAGAATTGGGTTTAGGCTGCCCTTACAGAGCCTCCTTAAATACCTGAATCTCTGGCAGCAAGAGTCCTACAGACAGCTCTATTTTGGAGTAATTATCTAAACTATCCAAATCTAAGTCTTACTTTTAAAAAGGTTTTAGTTTATGTGTATGAGTGTTTGCCTGCATGTGTGCATATGCACTACACTCGTGCCTGGTGTCCGCAAAACAAGCAAAGGGGGTCATGTCCTCTGGAACTGGGGCTAAAGGGAGTTATGAGCCACCTTGTGCATCCTGGGAACCTCTGCAAAAGAAGCAAGTGTTCTTAGCTGCTGAAGTATCTCTTGAGTCCATTAAACCTTACACTTTAAAATTAATACATGTTAATTCTGAGTTCACTTTAAACTGAAAGACGAAATATCTGGGGCTTGGGCTTATCACTTTCGTGCATAGACTGACTATTCAATTTGTACATCAGAGTCGTGCCTTTGTTCCAGCTCATTCAGTCACCAGTCACCATCTTCCAGCATCTGCTTCTGTTTGGCTGTCTATTTAAACACAAAGTGAGCCACATCATTTCTCAGCCTTTTGGCTAAAATCAAGTATAGAAGCTGAGCCATGGCTGGTACAATGGGTCCATTTTAAAACAAAAGATTCTGAGCTACCTCCTCCAAAGCCCTCTTTTTGAGTTAGATCCATTGCCTTCTATTTGGAATACATCTTTTCCCAGAAGCTACAAAACAAATGTTAATGATTACTGCCCTCTACTGCAGAACAGTAGACACAGCACAGGGCTGACCATGGGCAAAGAGTAGAAAAGTGCAGCTTTGGGTCTTCAAATAGGCTCCTTAATTCACTCCAAACCTGGGTAAACCACAAGCCCCTCTGATACTTTGCCTGTATCTAGAAACAAACTTACTGGTGTATCTGCTGCCAGGGCTGTGCAGTGCTCACACTAGTGAAAACCTTTTGACCCAATAGACAATATTGTACTACAGAACTGAAGTGAATGCCGTCAGCCCTGAGGTCTTGGACACTGAACTGGTCCATCACTGGCCTGTATTTTCCCCTCAGACAAGTTACATAGCCTGCTGTGTCTCAAATTCTCCATCATGAAGACAGTAGAAGGGAACAGGCCATAACACAAGGCAGCCACGAGAGATTGGCCTTGCCAAGGAATTGATCTAGGATTGTTCTGGCTCTTGAAAAAAATTTATAGTCCCTCCAATCAGGTTCTCTGGTTGTCTGAGAAGCATCAATAAATATCATTTTCACTTCTGTGAGGCCAAGAGCTCCGGTTTATCATGAACAAAAATAACCTGCAACTATGGCATTTTCAACTAACACAAAAAAGTTATCTTTTAGCTGTAATGTGGGGTGGAGGGGAAGAGGAGAGAGAAAGAGAGAAATATGCTCATGTATATGGACACAGCATGAAGGTGTATGCCAAAGGCCAACACACCAGTATCTTCCTCTCTCACTCTCCATTTTGTTTTTATGAGGTAGTCTCCACTGGCCCCCAGGAATCTGCCTGTATCCACTTTCCCAGCACTGTGTTTGCAGAATGCACCACCGTGCTCGGCTTTTTACACAAGTACCATCGGACCAAATGCAGGCAGGCTCTCTCTCTCACACACAGGTAGGCTCTCTCTCCTCACTGACAGGCTCTCTCTCTCACACACAAAGTCTGTCTCTTTCTTTCTCTCTCTCTCTCTGTCTCTCTCTCTTTCACATGCACACACACACAAGCACACACACACACACACACACACACACACACACACACACACACAGAGAGAGAGAGAGAGAGAGAGAGAGAGAGAGAGAGAGAGAGAGAGAGAGAGAGAGAGAGAAACAGGCAGGCAGGCAGGCTCTCACTCTCAAGCAGCAGATTCTTTACTGACTGAGCCAATTCCCCTGCCCCAGACCTTTTCTTCTCATACTAACATAAAATCTGGGGAAATTTCACTAAATCAGTGATATGAAAATTGTGACTCCAGGAGCCATGGCAGTTGCAGACTCTATGCTAAATAGCTGCATGAAAATTTGACTGGTGAAAACAGGGTTCAGGCAATGGACCAGTTTGAAGTTGGGACAGAGGATGGGGGAAACATTGAAGACATGACTCTGCTCTGGGTAACTACCAACCTAAAATACAAGTCAACAGAGTAGACTGTTAACCACATTTCAAATGTGAGTGTTTTCAAAACCCAGGTCTTAAACTCAATCTCACTTGCAATAACTGCTCCATATATGTCTGTTCAGTCTCATCTCAAGAGAGACAGAACATCAAGTTTACAGTTAAATCTAACAATGTCATAAACTGTGCTTTTATAAAAGAAGAAGAATAAATATAAATGAATTATTTTTGCATACTCCTGATATGGGATAATGTTCTTGTTCACTGTAAAGATTTGTCACTCATATTGCTTTAATAAAATACTGATTGGCCAGTAGTCAGGCAGGAAGTATAGGCAGGGGCTACCATACTAGGAGAATTCTGGGAAGAGGAAAAGCGGAGTCAGAGTTGCCAGTCAGGCAAAGAGGAAGCAAGATGAGAATTCCTACTGAGAAAAGGTACCAAGCCACGTGGCTAAACATAGATAAGAAGCATGGGTTAATTTAAGTTGTAAGAGTTTGTTAGTAATAAGCCTGAGCAATAGGCCAAACAGTTTATAATTAATATAAAAGCACCCCCCCATGTGTTTATTTGTGGCTGAATGGCTACGGGATAGGGTGGTACACAAAATTCCGTCTACATACCCCTTTATTCCTAAACTTAATCTGTATAACTTTTCTTAGAAAGCTATGCATTTTTAATAAAGACTATCAGAATATAAATCCAAAAAATCTGTATAGATATACAATTTACCTTTTAAAAAAGTTGTGGTAAGCCGGGCGGTGGTGGCGCACACCTTTAGTCCCAGCACTCGGGAGGCAGAGGGAGGCAGATCTCTGTGAGCTCGAGACCAGCCTGGTCTACAAGAGCAGTTCCAAGACAGCCTCCAAAGCCACAGGAAAACCCTGTCTCAAAGAAAAAAAAAGTTGTGGTAATTAAATAAGTCAGAACACAGAAAATGCTCAGAATAGGACTTGGCACTACTGCTGGGTTAGCAGTTATCTAATGCGTATTAGCATTATATAACACATAAATTGTTAACTTATTACAACTAAGACTAAAATGGTATGAAGACATTTATTAAGAAAAAAATGAAAGCCGCAATGACCTGCTCCGTAATGTTGAAAACCTGCTAAGTAGAAAAGAGTACTAAAGAGTTCTAGTCCCTTTCTACTAAATGTGCCAAAAATATAACTAATCAACCACATGCAGACCACATGATCCAAGGCAAATAAACACACACACACACACACACACACACACACACACACACAAACACACAATAAAACAATAATGACAATACTGACACCACCCATCCTGCTGCTACTGACAGGTACCATGCAAAGCACTTGCTCTGCTCAGCTCCTTGGACAACCTCAGTTCTATAAATAAAATACTTCTGTTATCCCTGCTTTAGAGATAGGCCAAGGTCTCATGGCAGCTGACCTGGAGAGTCTGCTCTGGAGTCCACACTATGCTCATTTCTCCCAAGTGACAAAGAGGAAACGGAAATCCCTCCACAGCCACACTGGCTCAAGGACAAGAGTTGCGTCTTGTCCACTCTCTGCCTAGGGTGAATGGATTTTCCAAACAATAGTCTTCCCAGACTTGGTGTGTCAGAATCATTTACACCAGTGGTTTGAAACCTTCCCAGGGCCTCCACTCTTTAATACAGTTCCCCATGTTGTGGTGACTCCCAACCACAAAATTATCTTTGTTGTACTTCATAACTGCAATTTTGATACTGTTATAAACTGCAATATAAACATCTGTGTTTTCCAAGTCTTAGGCAACCCTCGTGAAAGGGCTGTTTGACCTTCCAAAGGGGTCAAGACCCACAGGTTGAGAACCACTGACTTAAAGGATCATTTTATCTGGTTCATCCTGACCTACAGACCCACCAAGATCAACCCATTCTGTTTTTGTTTTTGTTTGTTTGTTTTGTAATGAGAGGTGTGTATGTAGTCTAGGCTGACCTTGATCTCTCTCTGTTGTCTAGGCTGCCCATGAACTCACTGTCCTCCTGCCTCAGCTTTCCAAGTTCCAGGATCATAGGCATGCACTACCACACATGGCCACCAAGGGTACCTTTTGCCTTTTTCTGGCTTTTTGCACTCTGGGTCTAACAAAAGGAAAGTTTACAACCTTACATTAACAAAATGTCAGTCGAGTCATGGCATACATTGCTAAAAATAAAAATGAAGAATTCCCAAAGTTCACTTGCTGGCTTTGCCAAATGCCAAAATTAGCATTTGAGATGTTATAAAGTATAATAGGAACAGTGAGCCTGTCTACATACAGACAGGAGCATAATTTGGTGGGTAACACAGGTAAACCTGGCTTAGGAATGCCATCCCTGAGCACAGCCAGACCAGCTCAGTCTCCCAAGCATGCCACTTGCCAATTGCTTCTCCTTTCACTGCCCCATATGTAAAGTGGGAGACTAAAGGAACCTACCTCACACCACTAAGAGCATATAAAATGTGAAAACTGGTGGGTAGGAGGCTGGGATACAGCAAGTTCCTATCTCAAAAAACAACAAAGATAATAATGAAAGAAACAGCTGGTGGCAAGTTCATCACAAGCTTCTCAGTAAATAGTAAATAGTGGGTATTTTAGCAGCTCTAGTCTTTCTTTCCCACAAGGACTGTTTCCTCAAATAATAACAATTGTTATGCAATACTAATTCTTTTTACACATGCAGGTTGAGGAATTGACTCTTTGGATAAACAGCTCGTCCCATAGGTTTGGGGGCCTGGGTTCAGATACCCAAAAACCATGTAGTGCTAGGCAGTGATACACTAAATCCTCCTAGTGCTACAGTGAGGAGGGAGGTGGAGACATAAGAATTCCTGACAGTTTGCAGGCCTACCTGCAATATGGCTGAAATATGCAGTGACAATAAAAAGAGAAGCCATGTGTCAACAAGGTAGAAGTGGGAGAAGGTTCTGACTTCCACATACACACTGAATAAGTGTGTATGTATATGCATGTACACACACACACACACAGCTACAAGCAGCAGATCACACAGTAATTATAAAGCTATCATATCATGAGACAACTCAGAAAAATTAGTAATTCTAATAGATTAAACCAATACAAAAGTTGTATTTAGTATTATAGTCTTGTGAATGAATTCGCTGTGTCTTGCTGTAGATTCTTCCCGTAGCTTATTCCTTTCTGCAACAAGCTTGGGATTTACTTCCCACAGTTCAGCACTATCTGATCATTTAATGGGAACAATTTCTCCCCTGCATTTGGAGTTTACTGATTATATTTCTTAGCTATGTTTGACACCTGTTTCCCACTATCAGGTCCTTGTTCCCCATCCTATGTGATTGCAAAGATCTGCCTTCCTGAAGTTATCCTTATCGACAAGCATTTGGTCAGTGCTTGGGGCCCAGGCAAAAGCATTCCATCTAAGACACTCCCAGATATCCAAGGACATAGAATTACTATACACCCAAAGTTGTTGATTCCTAGAAGGATAATAAAATAAATAAATAAATGAATAAATGAATAAATAAATAAATAAATAAATAAATATTCCCTGGTTTTACCTCCCTGGCAGACAGAGAAACGATAACCTAAACTAACCCTGCACTAAAAGATGGTCAAACTTCTTGTTGTATTAACTCAAGATTTTAGCACAGAGATTTGCTGCTCCCTCCTGTTTCCGCTGATAAGATAAAGACAAAGGCCATCAGCCCATTTGCTCATTCTCAGGGAAAAGTAAACTTTGCTGGAGACTCAAGCTGCCACAGAGCCCTGGAAAGTGCCAGGTTTTGTTTCTTGTGCAAATTAAACTTAGACCCTCTCCTTGACCTATAGCCCTAAGCAACTGGTGCTCTGTGTGTAAATCTTATCTGCCTTGTGGACCCTGAGAAACGCAAGCCTCTCACTGTATTGCAAAAAAATTACTGTTGCAAATGTGTACACTTTCCTGTACCCCCCAGAACTGGGGAGAGAAAGAGATGAAGAAGAAAGGAAAAAGAATAAAGGAACATGTAGAGAAGCAATTGTGTGGGAGTCAATTCTTCTTTCCATCGGAGGATTTTAGTGCCTTCCCTTATTTGTGGCTCCTTTTTTTGAACCCTGAAGAAACATTTTTAGAAGCTGGCCTTCTAAAGTTTTCGATAACACACCAGCAGTACCTGCACCAAAACTTACCTAATGATTGACAGCTGATAACAGAATGAATGGCTACTAATCCTCACCTCAATGTGGGGCTATTGATGGGTTTTGTTTTATTTTGTTTTGTTATTTTGATTTCTTTGATTTTGCTGAGGCCTATAGGGACTGGGTTTTGGAGTTGCTGTTGTTTTGGGGATTTTTTCACCCTATAGTTCAAATCCAGGGCCTCACACACAACAAGCAGGCACTCTTCCTCTGAGATGTCTCTCTAACCCTTAGTTTTTGAAATAAGGCATTTTGTTTTTCTGTTTCTGGCATGTGAATTCTATTATGAATCAAAGCATGATCTCAAGGGTTCTGCAGACAGCAACTGATGGCAGGCTTTTCTGCCAATCAGGTTGCTGAAGGAAAAAAAAAAAAAAAGTAGGCCACCATAGCTCTGCACTCTTCCCTCTGTCAACTCAGACCTCAGTCTCACCCTTGAAGAGGAGGCCAAAGAACATTCCACAGTAGTAAAATTCCAGACAAGCTTCCGGGAGCTAAGAATATAGCTGACTGACAGCGTGCTTGTTCAGCATCTATGAAATCCTGGGTTTAATATCTAGCATGGAAAGGGGGTGTAGAGAAGGAGAAAGAAGACTTCTCAAAAGGCAGGGGGAGAACTGAATAGGCGTAGCTTTCAGCAACCCTTTATTCCATGTCTCTATAAGAACTGTTTCCCAACTCAAGTGGCAATATGAATAGTGTCAGCAAGGACAGACTGTATCAAATCATTAAGTGGAGAAAAAATTGCATGTACCTGACAGCCAGTTCACAATATGACCATGAGGTAACTCCTGACTTGATTTAATCAGCTCACCATGCAAATGCCCATGCCTATCTGGCATGCCCAAGACTCCCCTGAGAGGCACACAATCAACCAAGGCCTATGCTAAATCTTAACTGTAAAATTACAAGATAATGCAGTGGTATTTCCATATCGAAGGAGTAGTTTTGTGATTTCAGTTATCATTCTTGCCATGTGGAAGTAAAGGGTGTTTCTCAACCCTACTCTCATGGCAAAAGAAAAAAAAAGGCAATTTCAACTGCAGAATAAACCACAATTTTGCTTTAAGAAAAAGGAGGTGGACATTCCCTCACCCAACACATAACCCAAATCACAGGACTATCCTATTGGTCAGGCTCATCAAGTGAAGTGAATGACAGCTACAGGTGTATTTCACAATCCATCCCCCATCCCACCCTCATGAACAACATTCACTGACTCTCAGGACACCCAGCTCCCTCCCCTGCCTCAGCCAGGTCCCTCTTTCCCATTAACAGCCAGCCTTACTCACTTTACTCCTGCAGACTTTGCCTGCAGGGCACTGCTCCAGAAGTCATCCACATTGTCTGGTTCAGCAAAGGCCTGAAGGCAGGCACTGAATGGGATCTTGGCACGCACAAGCTCTGGAAGGGGTCTTCGATTTGCTTCTGCTTCCCTTCTCATCAATTCATAGGCGATCAGCTCATCTGAGGAAGAACAAGGAAGGAACCTGAAGTCTCTCCTGCACAGGAGTCACACCCCCTTGGGTAGCATGTTTCCTTGTAGGTCAAGGTTGCTGCCTGTCTGTCCCAGAGAAGCCTGCCCAAAGACCATTCACAAGACTAACAGGCTTTGTGGAGTCAGAAACACCTTTTAATTCTATGTTTGTTTGGTTGGTTTTGTGAGGAAGGGTTTCTCTGTGTAGCCCCGGCTGTCCTGGAACTCACTCTATAGTCCAGGCTGGCCCCACCTGCCTCAGCCTCCCAAGTGCTGGGATTAAAGGTGTGGACCTTTAATCCAACTATTACTTGTATATTTTTTTATTCTTGTTTATTTTTGCTATTTCATTTTGAGACAAACAAGAGCGAACCAAGCCCAAATTAGATCGTGCATGAGACATCAATGACTTGGGGACCTGCTGTTCCATTTTCCCACCCCACAGTGACCCACGTACTGCTCTTCTACAGACTTCACACCAGAGTGTTCTGCAGCTGTGAGGGAGCCAAGGGCTCTCCTCTCCCCAGGCCCTTCATTTCCCTGATGAAGAAACTGAGGCTAAAGGTCAAAACTAACTAATCATTGGCAAGCCTAGACTTAAAGACCTGGTCAACAAACACAGATAAGGCCCAAAAGGGATGTAAAATCCATGCAAGGGATCAGATTTTCCTAATGATTGGGGACTTGGGGTGGGGAGCTGTTGCCAACTTCAAATTGTCTGGAAAATGACATGACCAAGGAAAAGAGATAAAAATCTGGAGTGTCACTGAGCTCCAGACAATGGCCAGATTTGGTGTCATGTGCTTCCTTGATTTGGTTCCTGCAGCAGCTGTGATTGTGGTCATGGGTTCCACAACGGCATGAGGTCAAGGGGAGTATATGTGTAAGCCTGCCCTTATCCACCAGCACCGTCATGGTACAACCAACACTGATGAAACATCATCCAATCAATCAACTGCCTGAAGGCCTCCTAGGGCAATAACACGGGGAAAGGAGTGAGTGTGCTGGTGACCCTTTAGGGCCAGAAATCTGCTCCCATTTTGACTCCAACTACAGTTAAAACATCACAGGTACTTTGTCATTTCTGGTTGACTGTTTCATAATAGCAACAACAATAACAATAATCCCACCAATAGATTGGCTTGTGCACATACATATTTCCTAAAACCCCTCCAGAAAGCTTTTAAAGGCCCTTCTTCGTCCATAGTCAGTTTACAGCATAGTACTTCTATCTAGCCTACAAATGTTAAATGTTACTAGAAATCCAGAAACTAAATTATAAATTTCTTTTCTTTTCTTAAAAAGATTATCACTCATATAGTACAGGGAATTAGGAATCACAGAACTTCGAAAGCTATTAAAATCCAAAGGGATTCATTCATTACCAACTAACTAGGGAAAGCAAGTGTTAAATGGGAGGGGGAGGGGGTCTTATGCTTCTACCTGACAATAAGAACTCTCACAAGAGGACTTGAGCCACAGCTGGTGTGGATGACACTTCTGCAGTGCCACCTGCTAGGCCTGAATGCTGTGGCTCCTACTAACCCTTAGCCCAGATTACTGGATGCTACTCACTCATCACAACTCTCCTCATTTTGCATTTAAAAAGGTCCCTCTGCCTCACCATCCTTGAAAACACACACGACTTCCTACAGAGCATGTGAATTCTCTTTGCATTGAGACTCTCAAACCAACATTAATTTTACAGAATACTCTTTGTCACCAAGGATGACAGAAGGGAACAGAGCTTGTAAGTGTGAGATGAGCAAGGAAAACCCATTGTTCCTTCTGATGACTCAGGTGATTGGCAACTTGACAGGCTCTCCCAACATCTAGAGTAAAGACTCCAAGCACAGCTATCAGGGATTATCTGGATTAGTTTAGCCCCTGACCATGCCTGTGAGGGACTATCTTGATTAGTTTCATTGGAATGGGAAGATCCACACTAAAAATAAGTAGCCCCATCAGCATCCTGACTCCCAAGAAGAAGAAAGCAAGATGAACACAAGCAGTCATCTCCCTCTGCTTCCCAGCTGGAACATGACTTTCCTATCATGATGGACTATATACTGTAACTTTGGCACAAAATAAACCCTCCCTCCCTCCCTCTGTTCCTCCTTCCCCTCCTCCTTCCCTCCCTCTCTCCCTTCATCACTTTCCAATATCATAATAAATTAACTTCCCCAAAAAGTAGCAATAGGCACTTGGAGAGGATTTTTTACAAGAATGGCAAGTAGCCCCAAAATGAGCAATCCACCAGCCATTTTGCCCTTTCCTTCTCTAAGACATGAACGCTGAGGAATACCATTCATCCATCCTGCCTGGGAAGAATCAGATCATGCTGAGAACATGAGAAGAAGCCATGCCCTGAAAGGCTACATGGTGGCAACTCTCCTGCCTTTCAAAGTCCAGTCATTCTCCTATCGGGCCTCACTGCTACAGAGTGGCCTACCACAAGTAACTCCCAGGAGGCCTGCCATAAAGACAAAATAGAAAGTGTGGTTGCTTCCCAAGACCTCTGATTCCAATTCTGATACCCAAAGATGCATTTCCATCAAACCTTATACCACAACGTATTAACAGTGGCACGAAAACACTCCGCCCACATCACCACAAGCAGCACAACTGTGCCCACTGCAGCTAACCATGAGCCACGTTTCTGGGTTCTAACATAGCCCCTGTCCATAGCTCCTCCACAAAGCCTGCCATGATAAATTTAGCCTCCTCCACAGACAGTCACATAAGAACTTGGAAAAACATGAGAAGGGCTATGAAACCCAAACACATCATCCAAGTGAAACATCAAGCCCCATCCCAGTGATTGGGCACCTTATCGGCACCTTATCTCTGGTGCAGGTCTCCCCCCACAGGGAGACAATGTGGCTCTTTTCCCTTTTGGGACTAGTACCTTTGTTGGTTGCTGCCTCCATGGCCACAGGTAACTGCATCAGATAGTCCACCCTCTCTGTGTAGCGGACCTTTCGGGTCTGACAGCACTGAATGCGCTCTTCCACCAAAAACCGGAAGACATCACTTGGGTTTTCTGAGCCAATTCGGTTCCTCTGAAGGTCAGATAACATCAGGTTAGCAGATTTAGGGGAATGAAGTCATGAATAAAAAACAGCAGTGTCAACTCCGATTCTGGCATCAAGATCTTGCTTTACGGAGCATTTTTTCTGGACATCAGAGTCAAACAGACTAAGACACTGTGATTTATATAGTGTCCCAAAATGAGGGGTTGGGTAAATAAATTCAAGTTCACCTGTGAAGTAATATTACAAAGTCTTTAAAACCATATAAGACAGATGGATATGGCTGGAATTAGAAGAGGGAAGGAAAATAAGTTAATAAAATAGAAAGAGGGGAAAATACTGTCTTAGGAAAACCAAGGTATGTTTGATACAATTTCAAATGCACTTAATGTAAACTATATATAAATAAAGAAACCATGTTATATTAGGATACAGAAGGATATGGCAGCATCCTTCCAACAGGCTAAGGGAAACCACTACTCACAGCACAGAGAATTCACAGGATTGGGAAATTACTGAAGCTGCTATAGTGTTAAAGCAGCAGTTGCTGTTATGACAGCTCTGATTTCCTCCTCTAGGTTTTCTCCTTTTTCCATAAAGAACACTTTCATAAGCAAGGAGGAAAGGCTACTGTTGTGTTTTGTTTGTTTTAAGCTGGATTCTTCATGGTTTCCACGGGATTCAGCTCTGCTACACTGGAAGCAAGATCACTTGAGTGGTAGCTGGGTATCAAGTACCTGGAGGTGCTTTCAAGGGGCTCTATCCAGAGACCAAGCACACAGAACACACACAGCATGAAAGCCGTACAAAGCCAGCAGCATCTGGAATCCAAATGTAAGAGGCAGCCACATCAACTGCACAAAGTCAAGACAGCCACCAAGAGGCTCAGTGAGTGACTGATGTAAAAAGAAGGGCATTTGGTCAAGCCATCACCAGGGTAGCTGGTGCATTTCTGACCAACCTTCAGGATGCTCTCAAGACTTACCTCTACCAGATTGACCAAGTGCAAGAAAAACTCCTGGGCATCTTGTTGTCTATTAGAGGAGAATTCTGGGTGGCTCTTGCTGACAAAGGCCTTGAACATGCATGGAGAGATCCCATTCTGCTGAGGCTAGAGTATAAAGGCAAAATTATCTTCTATAGGTGAAAACCTTCTACTATTATTCTGCTAAAGGCACATATTAACAAAAAGACTCGTGGTGACATAATGCTATACCCATAGCTAAAAGTATCACTCAGTCCACATCAGAGAAGCTTCTTGCAGTAGATGGTAATTTCCAGAGTCCCACAACTGGCCCATGGCAGAGAATGAGAGACTTTACAGAGTACCCAGTCCTAAATGGTAAGTCATTATCAAACTCTTCCCTTCAAAGCTCAAGGATCTATGCAGAAGAGGAGGCAAGAAAATTACATGAGTCAGAAGTAATGTATGACGCCAAAGAAACAGCATCTTCCAGGCACGACAGGACTGATGCGCATACAAACTCACAAAGACTGTGGTAGCATGCACAGGACCTGCACAAGTTCAACCTAGATAAAATCCCAGCACTGAGAGAGGAAAGTGGACACATGATCCCACCTCTAACAAAGAAACGGTCTACAATGACACTTGCTGATGCAGAAAAATCAGATTTCTTCAATGGAGCAGCACTGGATACATCAATAACACTCTAGGGCAGGCCCTATGGCCAGGAATAGTTGGCAACAGGAAACAAAGTTCATGTTTTGTTTTGTTGGTGGGTTTTTAATGGACTTTTTGTCTTGTTGTGTTTTGGATTTTTGTCTTACTGTGTTTTGTTTCTTTGGCTTTTTTGTTTTTTATTTTAGAGAAAGAAGAAAGAACATTTAGTTGGATAGGTGGGAAGGATCTGAGAAGTGTTAGAGGAGGAAAAAGAATATAAACAAAATACATTGTATGAAATAAGCATATAAATAAAAACACTAGATAAAAAAAGAGAATAAATCATCACATAGCCTGAATGGCAAGTGGATCTGATCTAACTGTGAATCCCACCTTTCAAATGAGGAAAAAGGTAAGCATGACAAGAGCCACCATTGATCATCTGGATATGTAGACATTGCTCTATAAACTTTATGAGAACAGGGCTGGCTCAGGTGACAAAGTGTTAATCTGGCATGCATGAAGCCTTGGCTTCCCTCCCCAGCACCCCAGAAAGCCGGTATGGTGATACATATCTGCAATCCCAGCACTCAGGAGGCAGAGGCAGAAAGGTCAGAAGTTCAGTGTCTTCCTTAGCTACACTGCAAGTTCAAGACTCACCTGGGATCCATGAGACTGTCTAAAAATATAGAGACACATATGTACACATATATGTGTGTGGATGTATATATAGATATAGACACACATACATAGTGAAAACTTATGTAAGAACAAATTAGAACTCTTCCTGAAGACTCAGAGCTCAGAACAGTGGATGGCCAATGCACCACTTCATCGACAGGCTTGAGGCCCATCCTTATAGGGCGTGTGACACAGTGACCAAACCTCAGAAGGACTAGAGATGCACTATGGAGAGGAACTTTGGCAGAAGTGTAGAGGGGGAGCTCCTGGGGCTGTAGAGGTGAGTTAGTGGTTAAGAGCACTCACTGCTTTGCCAAAGGATCTGAGTTCAGTTCCCAGCACCAGTTCCCAGGCTTCAGGAGCTTCAGAGGCACACCTGTTCTCACAAAAGTTGAATACTGATACCTGTCAGTGCTCAGAAGGTTTGTGGGAACGAATAATGCTTTCTCTCTACACATGGATGCAAATTTGATCTTTTTCTTTCTCTTTTTCTTTTTTAGTTTAGGTATATGTTCATATGTGTGCACAAATGTGTGAGCATGCACGTGGAAGCCAGCGGTCAATGTTGGCTGTCTTCCTCAGTCACCTCATCACCTTATTTTTTGAGACAGGATTTTTTACCAAACCTGAAGCTTATTCACCAGCTAAACTGCTGGCCAGTAAGAATCACCCTGGCTCTGCCTCCCCAAAACTGGGACTAGAAGTGAGTGCTGCCTCCTAGTGTTTTATTCCCAAAGCCCTACATCCAAGGTTGTTCTCTGACCACGAAATGCACAGGACACATGTCACGCTCTGCACACCCATGTTCACTCATAAACTGGACTCTGCAAATGACAGTTTCTAAAAAGCCAAAAAAAAGTTGAGCTAAGGAAGTCACATTTTCAATTTGACAGTGGCCTAGTGACATCACCTAAGTGTTACTACAGCCCTAGCATGTAAAATAAGGACAGAGGATGCAACATGACCTGCTGTCTTGGTTGTAAGCTGTCTCTTGACCACACCCTTTGTAAAAGGGTGGTCCAGGTCTCCAGAATAGCAACCACCCAGGGAGCCTGTGGTACGACTAGGGTACTGTACTTCTTTCTCCATCAGCAAGAGAAAAACAGACCAGCTAAAATTAGAGAGAGGACTCCAGAGCCCAGACTCTCCCAGATGCTTGCACGGGACCTTCTAATGCCATGCTTTCACACAGCCAGTGTCCACTCACTTCCCAGAGTCCAGTGCCTTAATTAATAAGCAAGCCGTGAGCTAGATGGATCTTCTGGCACATCAGAGCTATGCCTGAAGATATTTCTGACCATAGACTCAGCTCAACCTGTCACTAACACACACGTTTTCAAGACAGTTGCTGGTCGGTTTCAGCACTGTACAGTATTTGGAGGAAGAACAGTTAACATGATCACTCTGAGTAACTAACATGATAGGAACAATTCAGTGTGTGGAGTAACAGCAGCTCATACAAACATGAATGGCAAGTCCTGCTGGCAGCCTCATCCTCCAGCAGCCACACTTCAAGCCCAATTGTGAAAGTGCTAACACTGAATCCTAGGCAGTCTTTCCTCCTCCTGTTTGTCTTATCCTCTGAGTTAAAACAACCAGATTGAAGTTGTAACACTAGGAATCTTTTTTATAGATGAAATGGTTTATTAGCCAAGACATTATTGCAAATCTAGGATTTCCCTTGATCTGTAGCAGATGATTTAACCTTGGGATGTGTACCTGTCAGGAAAGAGCCAAGATACAGGACAAGAGGGAGAGGTGAAAAGTGAAACACCCACTCTATTACAAAGCTAGCAGGTCTTTGTTATGCAACAACTCAACACAGTGGAGGAGGGAACCTTGAGAAAGACTGTGCCTATGGTTTGACTTACTTAGAAACATTACTGTCTCGTACTTATGTGCAATGAAATGTGGTGGGTTTAGTTTCATGTTAAAGAAAGACAAGGTACCCAACAGAGGCAAATATAAATTAAAGAGCGCAAGCTCCATGCTTAAAGCTAAAATCCTATCACCTCAGTATGACAGAATGCTGGTTACCTGGGGTGATGCCAAAACCCACAATAGTGTCAAAATTATTTAATTTGGGAATCAAACTGTCCTGGACACAATTTCTCAGGATGCACAACTACTTCAAACATGCTATTTGCATGGGGGGAAAGCCTGAAAGGTTTCCACCTTTAAATTGTTTGAAAGCACTTGTCCAGCTCAAACAAGGATCTGAGTGTGATCCTCAGTATAAATAAACAAGTAAAATCAATAAATATCAAGAGCAAACTCTTAAGGACAAGGTAGAACCCAAATCAAACATTGGGCTGGAGAGATGACTCAAAAGTTAAAAGTGCTTAGTGATCTTCCCCAGGTTCAGTTCCCAGCACGCATATTGGGCCGTTCACAACCACCTAATTCCAGCTCCATGCAATCCAAAGCCCTCTTCTGGCCTCCACTGGCATCTGCACATATGTCTGTCTGTCTCTGTCTCTCTGTCTCTCTGTCTCTCTCTGTCTCTCTCTCTCTCTCTCACTCACTCACACACATACACACAAACATAAACACACAAATAAAAATAAAATCTTCTTTTAAAGAAATTAAAATACTGGATGTGATTGTTGTTTTTTGTCAATATGACACAAACTTAGACATATCTGAGAAAATGCCTCTTTAAGAATAGCCCATAGGGAAGGGCCTAGGCCTGGCCCAGGATAATGTGGTAGACTTTGGGGAGCCCCTTTTGAGGGCCTTACCCTGCCTGGGGAGTGGAGGGGGGATGGCTAGGGGCAGGTGGGATGTTGGGGGGAGGGGAGGGAGAGGGAGAAGGGATTGACATCTGAAGCAAGCCTGTTCCTAATTTGAACTAATAATTTAAAATAAAAAATTTTTAAAAATTGGCCCATAGGTCCAAACCAAGCCCTCGGAATGTGGGTACCAACTAAGAGGCCAATACAGTCTATATGACCTCTAACAGTTGAGCCAGTCTTAAACCCTAGAGCACAAATAGACTTTGGGAGCCCATTCCCTATGGAGGGATACTATTGCAGCCCAGATACAGGAAGGAGGGCCTGGGCCCTCCCCCAAATGATGTGTCTCCCTGGGGAGGGGGTGGAGGGTAGGTTGGGGGGTTGGTCGGGAGCATGGGAGGATGGGAGGGCAAGGGAATGGGGAGATGGAAATGTAAATAAGAGTACTTCTAAAATAAAAAAATAAATAAAAATTAAATAAATAATAAAAATAAAAACAATGGCCCATAGGCAAACCTGTAGACCAGGCATTTTCTCAATTCTGATTAATAACGGGAGGACCACGCCCATTTTGGACCACCAGGGCAGGTGGTCCTGGAGTGTACAAGAAAGCAAGCTGAGCAAGCTATGAGCAAGCCATGAGCAAGCCAGCAAGCATTATTCCTCCATGGTCTCTGTATCAGCTCCTGACTCCAAGTTCCTGCCCTGTTTAATTCCCTCAGTAATGGACTATTAGCTGGAAGTGTAAGGCAAAATAAACCCTTTCCTCCCCAAGTTCCTTTGGTCATGGAGTTTTAACACATCAATAGAAAATATAACTAAGACACTGGGAATCTTTTCTATAGATGAAACAGTTTATTAACAAAGACATTACTAAAAATCTAGGATTTCCCTTGGTCTGTAGCAGGTGATTTAACATCAGGATGTGTACCTAGCATGAAAGAGGTGAGATACAAGAAAAGAGGCAGAAGTGAGAGGTGGAAAGCTCGAAGGTAATCCGCATACTGGTAATCCGTCCCACCCAAGCAAATGCTGGAGCGGGATCACACAGCTGTCCAAAGCAGCTGCGCAGGCACCAGATGGCCTGGGGCAATTCCCACATCTACAGAATTCTACCTTTGCAAGACCTTTCTGCATGGATTTTTGTTTCCACCAAGGAAGAGCCTGGCCCCCAGCAAGCACAATGCGATGTGAGCTGTTGGCAGAGTAATTCCCTGCACTGTCAATAGAAGTAAATAAAGAGTTCTGCTGTGGGCTATTAGTCTATTTAATAAACTGCTTAAAATCAACATGCCCTGGACCACAAAACAAAACATATGCTCAATCCCTGTTCTTTCCTAAACGTCACAGGAGCCATAGCAGTGCTAAACCAAAAACTATTTCTACCCCCACCCCCAAGACAAGACCTTTTCTCTACCTCCAGGGAACACACTGGTGCTACACATGGCCAGGGTTTTATTCTTTTTAACTTTTGGGATTTATTTTCAGGTAAGGCTGTGGAATATTTCTTTATATTGAATGAATATGTGTCGCTATATGAATATATGTGACTGGGTTAATAAAGAAGCTTACTGGGGTTAGGTTAGGCAAAAAGAGATCTCGAAGAAGAAAGGGAGAAGTCACAGATTCTCAAGACATGGAGAGAAGGAAATGAACTTGCTGTACTGAGAAAAAGTACGAAGGCACATGGCAGAGTGTAGATAAGAAATGTGGGTTAATTTAAAATGTAAGAGCTAGATAGTAACAAGCCTGAGCTATTGGCCAAGCGTTTATAATTAATAACAAGTTTCTGTGTGGTTATTTGAGAACTGGCTGGTGAGAAAGAAAAGTCTGCCTACTCAGGGCCTAGTTTAGGCCGGGTTGGCCTTGAGCTCACTTATATATCTTGAATGTATGATCACTCTGCCTCCACCTCCTTTGTTGTCAGAACATGGTCCAGCAATGGAGTCAGTCATGTGTTGAGAATTTTGAGTGCTTTCGAGAAAACTCCAAGAAAACATAACCTCATTTCCTCAAAACACGGAATTGTTCTTGGAATGTGCTTTCCTGTTCCTCCCAGGTGTAGCAGACAGGAGTGGATTTACTTCAGATTACTCATTATTGCTTACTGTTGTTTTTCAATTAAGTGTTTCAATGATTCTTTATATGCCTCTATGAAAAAACATGTTTTTGTCATATGTGGTCTGTCCTTGTGATTGTATACAGTTTGAACTCATAGGAACTTTACTCTTGTGATTTTGCTTAGCCCTCTGAGTATAAACTGTCTGATACTCTGAATAAAGGTAGCTATTGCATGAGACTTTAGTCTGCTCATTTATCGGCTCCATTCTCCCAGGTTGCACCTCCTATAGAACAATGACACTTAGTGATGGGATTACAGCCCTGCACCACCACACTCAGTCTATGCAAGGCTTCGTGCATGTTAGGCCAACACTCTACCAATTAAACACCCAAAACCCTTTAGGATGCTTTCTTCCATGCCACCAGGTCCTAATTTTACACTGCAGGGAAGTGTTTTCTAAGTCATCTAAGAGTCACAAACCCAAATGCCAGGAGCACTAAATAGGTCACAAGTCACTGGGATTGGAGTCAGCTGGGAATCATGTCTTTCCTCATAGTGGGCTGTCAGTGGGCTCCAGCTGCCACTGAGGGGCTTGGGCTTGGATATTATGCATGAAGCAAGAAAACACACTCAGTCCAATGTGGTCCAAGTAAGGCCAGTCATACCTCAACCAGACAGAGCAGGGGTTCCCACCTGCCTGGCCAGCTGATAACAGCAACTGGATCTGATGCTGAAGAACAGATGGGGCTACAGGCAGCTGTTTGTGAGGTGAATAAACACTGTACCCTGGCCATCCCAAGAGCTACCTCTTCATCAGCGGTCAAGGACATCATGATAGTAGCAAAATTCAGTTTAACTTTTCCAGATACTACTCACCTGAAGAGTTTATATTTCCTCAAATAAGAAGATTCTAAAAGCACAATAATGGCCATAAACACATACAGATTTAACCATCAATAGGAAACTCCTGAAAGTATCCCAATTTCAGCCATCTGAAGGCAGTGGCTTGATGACCTGCCGGCAGTTGCACAGCCCTGCCGGACCAGGCTCCTTGTCTCCAGCAAACAAATCGGAGGCTGCCCCCACAGAGCTTGCCAAGGCCTAACACAGCCTAAACAACGTTCCAGAATAAAGAGATCAAAACACAATTTTGTTTTGTCAACCATCACTCCTTCAAAGTTTCATGGAAGAGAAAAGATTGGTGACTCCCTAGACAAACCTCCCCACCCAAACCCCCCTTCCCATGTGTCCCCAGTGAGGATTCCCCATGTCTTGGTGGATTTGCAGCCATTATCTTGCAATGTTGAGTAACAGGACAACCTGAGAAGGTGTACTCTCCCCTGTCCCACCCCCCTAGTCTCTCCAGGGCTCTCTAAGTCGAAACATCTGCTCCCTCCCTTCCCCCTTCCTAGCATACTTTCCTGACCCCATCTAGATACCTATGTGAATATACTCCTTCCATCCCCCACACACATCCCCCTTCTCTCCTTTGCCCACTTCCACCAGCAGCTGGCTCCATATGACCAAGTATGAACTCACTTTCCCCTCCTGCTCTTAAATTACCATATCAGTTAAGGACAGCTGACCTAACTGGGGAGCGCAGAGGTCAAACACTTGAGACCCAGCATGGAACAGGCCTGAGCACTAGAGTGCACAGGTGAATGGGGGTACTCTGAAGAGACAGTAGGGTGGAAAACAGATCTGAGTTTCACTCAGGACACTTGTGGCCATCAGTGTGAGGCATGCTGAATCCATCTACATAGACTGTGCACTACCAAGGGCACCCACCATTCGGAAGAAGCGGGCTGTAAGCAGTGCCCTCTGGGGCTAGTTAACAGTGAAGCCTGGAAGGAGATAACACCCCAGTGTGCACACAGAGACCCATCAAACCCATCCTTCACTTAGTCTACCTATTAGCAGCAAGCAGCCAACTGACTTTCCACCAGCAAGAACTTAAAAGAAACTCTTAATCCTAGGCTCTGAGGAGATGGCGAGAAACCCATGTGCTGTGGTTTAACAAAAGAGAACTTGTAGCAAGCATTGTGGAAACTGAAGCAGGAAGAGCAAGGGTTCAAGGCCAGCCTGGGAATCTGTTGTATAGCTCCTAATACTTTCTCCCAGTTGAAACATTCTCTCAAGAGATCATACACTCAGGAAGTTCAGGAAACTTACAAGACCCAGGAAGGTTCGAGACTTACAAGACCCTCCCTAAGGTGCATAAGCAATGAACCATCCGGAGGGAAAGGAAACTCTTCAGCAGAGCTGTCAGCAAATAGGACAGAGCTATAGGGATGCTGCCTTCTGAGTGATTGCCCATCCTGGGATGGGCTGCCTTTGAGGAAGCCACACTCCTGTCAGTCATCTCTCATCCATGTTCCTCCCAGTACTCCCCAAGAAACTCGTTGGATTCCCAAACCAGACTTAGGTAAGCTATTATTGTGGCCCTACCTCCAGTGAGTACACACTATTCCTATCTCTGAAGAAAAAGTTATACAATGTGTACTGAGAGACTCCTTCAAGCAGGAAAAAAGGGCAACAGGGAGGGAGTGGGGTTGGAAGAGATGAAGAAATGGAAGGAGGGAGACAAGAGGACCTAGCAAGAACATCTGGAGCTTAAGACAAACACTGAGAGGCCCAAACTGGATAAGGGAGGGGGCAGTTTTTATGCTTCATGCCTCCAATCCCAGCTCTGCCTTAAGAAAATCATAAGTGAGGGCACAAATCACCATGTGTGACCCAAGTTAGTGGGAACTGATGCTATTTCCGTCCTGTTGTTTTTAGGAACACAGGGACAAAGCACCCACTCACAGCTACCCGGACAGCTCACTGAATTTCCAGCAGCCTTTTGCCAACACAGGAATCCCACATTGCTGACCCAAGTCCCACCCATTTACATGTCAACATGACACACAGCGATACATACCTTGTGCTCCTCCTTCATCACCTGCTCAATGAGCTCGGATTTCACAGGAGGCTTCGAGTACTGGCCAGAGAGGAGGCCATGCCCCAACTTAGTCCTAGCCAGGAGAGAGACAAACAATAAAGAGGCCACTGCTGTTTCCCACAGAGATGTGAAGGTCACCCATGAGTCCTTGTAGCGGGCTGCTCTAGATCCGGATTCCTCACAAACAGCTTGGTTTTTGCCTCTGCTTGATTCTGACTCCACTCTCAAAGTTTCCTCAGTACTTTATAACTTTATTAATCTCTTCTTACAAAGGTAATACACACCCATTCTAGAACACTTAAAAATACAGAAAATAAAGAAGAAAAAGGAATTGCCTTCAACTCAGCAGTAACCAATGCAAACACCCCACCCGAAACGTAAAGCACAGCGTTGGGCACTTACATCTGTGTGTTGAAGTCCTGCGTTGGATCTAACGGCGAGTAGTCAAATATCCTAGGGAGGTTTCCTACATACCTAAGAGACAACAGGACAGTCACCACAGAAACAGGACAACAGAAGCAAGCTGTCGCTCTGCAGACACCCACCCAAACAAAGTCTTTTCTGCGTTTCTGGCTCCACAGCATACTCATGAGCCATTCCCAAATCCATTGACAGGTTTTACCCTCCCCAGAGGCTCTGTGAAACAGCACCCTTCCCATGTGCCCATCTCCTCACCTGAGACACAAGCCTAAGATTTTGGAATTCTCCCAACAGCCCACCCATGCCATTCTGACACATCAGAAACCATGTCACCATAATAACCACCTCAAAAACAAATGGTATTCAGCAAATGGGGAGGTTAAGGCAAGACGGTTGCAAGTTCAAGGCCAACCTACTTGTGCTACACAGAAAGACCCTGTCCTGAAAAAAAAAAAAAAAAAAAAAAAAAAAAAAAAAAAAAA